GAGCCCCTAATTTTAGCTTAGATCATTCATCCACCACGAAAAAGTTCTATTTTGAAAAGTAAGTGATAATTATCCTTCCATCTCCACTTATAAATCGATAGCCGAACTCCAGTAATTGATCTTTCAGCAAATCAAAAATCAGAAACTGCATAGTCTCACGCCCTGCAAATCCAAAACAATGGGCAATAACCATTCCACCCTACCCCACCACCCAACCACCCTCATACTCCGTCTCTTTCCTTACCATGCACCAGCCCCCGCGGTCCCTTTCCAACCCTGCATTTGCCCCTACCTTTAAGTACCTACCGAGATAGCCCTGAGGTGTATTATTTACCTCCAAACATACGAGTAGTCAGTTTACAAATACCTACGAAAGTGGACAGCTCGATAAATAGTAGTTTTAAATCTATTCAAAACGCGTGTTTAGACTGTTATAAAGTGTCATTTGATATCATCGACAACGATCTTTACTTGACATTCGAGAAGTACGGATTACTGGACTTAGTGTTGAAGTGCAATCCGGATCGGGATTTCTCTGGTTATATTGTGCAATTGGACCATAAAGTGTTAAACCATAAGTGATGATATTGACCGTTTGCGGTAACCTACATTCAATTTAGGATACAATTAATACAACAGGTATGTATCCACTGTAACCAACAAACAGTTCTAATAAATGTAAGCCACACACCTTAATTAGAGAATATAGAAGGAGTAATTGAGCTTTTGTTTATAAATGATCGAATATTTTGAATAGAATACTTACTGCCCTTTTAGAAAAGAAATTTCATGATTTCGGCATAATATGTTTACATTTTAAATATCTATCAAGCCAAACTAGAGAGAGATGTATGTAAGAAAAACGTGCAAAAGCGGTAAAGATATTCATATAATCAGAAGTAAATTGGCATTGGACAGAGATGTGATGTATGCATTTTCAAAAACAAATTCCAAAACTAATGGAAAGACAACGATTTTCTTTAAAGACAAAATATAGTTTTAATGAATCTTGTTCTCATCTAACAGATGGCACCACTTGTTTATTTGTTTCTTTGATTGATAATTTTTAAATTCCATCTTTTTCTTACCTGCTTAGAAATTACAAGTGATTTAATAACATTAATTTAACATTTATAAAGGTGTATTTTACGTTCTAAAAGCACAAAAAAGGTTTTTTATGGCTTCACAACTAACTCAAATGATTTAACTCTAATTTAAGACCATTATAAAGTATAATAATTAACAGCAAGTTGATAACTGTACAAAAATGAGCATGCAGTTTTACAAATAAATAATGAACAAACACATGGGAAATAATCCCTTTGGTATTCCGTTTTAATCCGATTCATTTTCATTTTTAAAATCAAAAGTTAATGCTGTTGAATTTCGTTTTGATGTTTATTTCATCTTTGCAGTCGTGTCCAAGTTGATTTGTCATGAACTTTGTTATATGTCTGATATATAATACGTTTTAAGTATATTTATTAGCGTCTCTATCGTATAAGAAAGAGTTTAAGGGTTAGTTTCACTTAATAGCAGCTTTTTCTTGGCGACATTTTCTCTTCATACTAGCTCTCAATTCATATGATCGAAATAATAATCTCTCATTATTGTAACAACTGAAATTTAGGTACGAAAATATGTATTTTTTGCTTTTTTCTGATTGAGTCGTCACAATCTTCTAGGAAATAATAGTTTAAAGTAAACATCCTTTGCTTGAAGGTATCTGTTAAAGCAAAGCTGCCGCTAGACTAATAATCTATTGGAATACCTACCTTTTTTCCACAGAGTAAGACCAGTACCTGTATTAAGCAGTGCTTTGTTTTCAAACACAAGGCTTAAATCTTGTCTCGTGTTTCGGAAAACAGTGTTTTGTACGGTCCTTATTAGTGAACTTGTAAATTTTTACGCATGGCTACCTGTTCCTGGTACCAACGTAATTGTTGTATTTTGTCACTAAACAAGCGGCAAAAGATCAGTAACGGATTATTTTAGGTCCCTTCCGTGGAACTGTGTATTTATCTTCAAACTTCCTCTTTTTGAAAATCTCTCAGATTTAATTTGCCGACAATACATACAGGTTTTTTAATTAGACATTCTAACAACGGATGATCATGGTGCACGGAAAACCTATCTCCGAAGACTTCCGCAAAGTCAGTGGAATAAAAACAAATTGTTCCTGTAGAATAACTGTTTTGTTACATAGAAGGCAAATGAGGTTGAATGAGATCAAGTTCGCATGAGGGACCAAACAAGTATCAAGAGAAATACCATAGTAAAAGGTAAAAAAATGACAACATTGGACGACCATTGCATGTGGTACTGAGTGTTAAAAAAATAACATAACAATACTCACTAAAGTAGGAGTTTGTTTACATCTGAAGTGTTGAAATTTCAATGACAACAAATTTAGACCATTGCTTAAGCCTTCAAAATGGTAAAAAGTAAAGAAAAATTATAGTAGGATAAAACCCATTGGAAAAGGAAGAGAATATAACAAAAATGAAAAGAAAAATAATTTACGGGCGATCTGAGGTCGGGAATGGGAAGGGGGTGAGTTTTTAAGGGTAAAAAACGGTTTATCTTGATTTCTGGAAAAACTACAAGTCTTATGGAAAAAAGTTCAATGAGAAAGTTGTAGGTAATAAAAAGATCTAAAACTTTTGTATTAACACATTTTTCACATAACCTCAAAATTTATGTGAAAAATTCAAATAACCAAGTTTTTGGTTTTTTATTTTTATCTTTTACATAAAATTTTTTTGTTTCACGAAATTTGGTGAAAACTTACCTATTTATGTCCCAAACACGCTGTAATTTTTTTGATTTGAAATATTTATTTTTTCACCTTATTTTTACTTAATATCGAAAAAGCACCCTAATTTTCAATCGAAAATTCTCACGTCAAAATATCTGTTTTTTTTTGTTAAAAACGTCGGTGGGCTTTTTCTTCGTTGAAATCTCTACTTTCTGATGGTGTAAAAAAATATATACATTACTATGGTAAGTTTTCTCAGGAAATGTAAAGAAACGAACTAGAATCCGAAAATTTTTTTCTAATCATTATGTACAATTTTGAGCTATTTATTAAAATTTACACTTTAATTACTCGAAAAACGTAAGATTCCATGTTACATTGATAAACAAAAAAATTACAAATCCAAATATACTATTATAATTAACAACCAAATAAGTTAATAAAGTTAATATTTAATAAGACATCTACAATATTGTGAGAAAGTTGTAGAATCTTCTTTCGTTTCTTTGCATTTCCTGAGAAAACTTAGCATAGTAATGTATATTTTTTACACCATCAGAAAGTAGAGATTTCAACGAAGAAAAAGCCCACCGACGTTTTTAAAAAAACATATATTTTGACGTGAGAATTTTCGATTGAAAATTAGGGTGCTTTTTCGATATTAAGTAAAAACAAGGTGAAAAAATAAATATTTCAAATCAAAAAAATTACAGCGTGTTTGGGGTATAAATAGGTAAGTTTTCACCAAGTTTCGTGAAAAAAAAAATTTTTTGTAAAAGATAAAAATAAAAAACCAAAAACTTGGTTATTTGAATTTTTCACATACATTTTGAGGTTATGTGAAAAAAGTGTAAATACAAAAGTTGTAGATCTTTTTATTACCTACAACTTTGTCATTTAACTTTTTTTCATAAGACTTGTAGTTTTTCTGGAAATCAAGGGAAACCGTTTTTTACCCTTAGAAACTTACCCCCTACCCCTTCCCGACGTCAGATCGCCCGTAAATTATTTTTCCTTTCATTTCTGTTATATTCTCTTTCTTTTCCAATGGGTTTCATCCTACTATAATTTTTTTTGGTTTCAAAAATTATCGACCCTGGTCTAATTATCATTTCCGTCGGATAGTTGTTTATGATATACAGGGTGATACATTTTTTATGGTTAGAACCATCGATAGATCTTGTCAAAATAATGTCATTTTGAAGTATACACTTTTTCTTCCAAAGGCTTCCTGTTAGAGATTTTTTTTGGTTTTTATTTATTTTTTCTTAAACTATGAAGGCCATTTGTTTTATATTTAATATGAAGTGTACAAATGAAAAGCTCTACCGATTTTGTAAATTATTGTGAAAATAGGTCATTCATAGGCGATCCCTACTTTTAATATAATTTCTACGCCACTGGAAAATTTTCAAAATGAATATATTTTTTTTACTTTGGCGGTTTATTCTACAGCAAAAAAGTCTCTTACTATTTTCAAATGAACTGCCTGGTTTTTGAGAAAAATTCTAAGCCATATTACAATTCCGTGCTTGAATTTCCTTATACACATTGTATATCATTGTATATTATCATACAACGTTCTTATTGTGTTAAATTCAATCGTTTACGACCACCCTGATTACCCCTTATCTACTAACACCCACACACTGTTCCATCCTTTATATAAAGCTTATTGGAATAACTAAATGTGAAAATAATAACACGTCTCGCTTACTTGTACGCTTATGATCCGCACTGACATGCCTTAGCTGGAAAGTTTAGTACAGTCGTATCTTTTTTTGAATGTACACTATAAGCAAAAATAGAAATAGACGCATATAATAACGTTCCAAATGCAAGCGCGCAGGCTCAAGATGTTATCGGAACCATATGCGAAATGAACGGCACATTACAATTTCCATGCAGATAATACACAAAGTTATTTCTTCGGTAATAATTGTGGTTCAATTTGTATATGAATCACGGTCTACTATTATGAAGCCTGGAATATTATTTGGAAACATATATGCCAATATTTGCCAGAAATATATCCAAAATCAAATCCCTTTGAAGAAATGTAGCAACTACTACCCATTTTCATTCTTAATTCAAATAGCTTCGGTTATAGCATTCATGTCGTATGTATGGTAATATTGGTTTTCCAAATGGTTCCAAAAACTGCTACACTTTATAAAATCTTTGGAACGATGTCTCAATAACTGTTGGTAGAGAGGTTACAGCATTTTCTTTTCTTTTGCAGTGAAAATATCCGGCATCAAGACGTCTCCTTTACCGGCAGAAGACGTTACGGGCTACGGCGTGGGTGGCAGTCTGTTCCCCAACATGAACATGGCTGGGTACCTGAAGACGCCGACGGGTCCTCACGGGCCTTTCCCGCCGCATCCTTCCCTGGGCAATGGGTTGATCATGCCCGGACTGGGAGCGTTCGGGCCAACCCACCCCCTGGAACCCGTTCCTTTCCCACAAGGTAACTATCTAGTAGTTCTAAGTTTATTACAACTGGCACATCCCCCGAAGCTATTTTTTGCGCGAGCGAACAAATTATTCATGAGCCGCAGAAGCTTCGAAATAAATAATTTTAAATTTGCACAAAAATGTTCTATTGAAAATACATTCTGTCAAAAAAAGTATCCGGAATTTGTCATTTAAAAATTCCTCTTAAAGTAGATTTCAGTTACTGTTTTGATGGAAAGTTGGTAGTACCGACACGAAGTTTGAGCGTGATCTGTCAAATAGTTTGTTTACAGCTGTTAATTCTATTAGTCCACCTGTCTGTTCCACGATTTTTACTATTAATAATGTTATTGAGCAAAGAGTTTGCCTAAAATTTTGTGCTACCAACGGAATTTCTTGTGTTGAATCATTGAAAAGGTTCAGAAAAACGGACGGTAATTCAGTTTTATGGAAAACTCAGGCACACGATTGGTTAGAAATCATTCAAACGTGGTCATCCTTCAACGTCTTCAATTGAAGAAAACGTCGATATAGTGAAGGAAATTGACAAATTCCGGATACTTTTTTGAGAGAAAAGATATATGTGTAGAAGAAATATGTTTATATCACGATTGATAGATATTGTTGTGTCCAGTTTAGTAGTCCTAAAACATTTAATACGGTAAAGTTAGTAAAGTCATAAGTTTATGCACTTACCACTACAAGATGTACATTGATATAATTGCATTGGGTTATGCATTTTTTTCTTAATAACGATTGGAAAATATGTATTTGGTGACTCACTCAAATTTAGGATACAAAAATTCTAGTTATATAGTGTCACCATCTGGTGGCGCTATGATAATGTTCAAAATATACATTCAACTGCTTCCTGATATTAACAGTTTGAAATCACTTTGCTAAAACTGTCAGCGTTGATATACGAAAAACGGAAATATTCATTTAAACTTTTTTGTCACAGTGAAAAGGCGATGTGAATATATAACCACACTATTTTATTATTTTTGAGCGGCAGGTATTAAAAGTCTATCATCGTTTTCGAATTTAATTATCTTCAGTCGATTTAAAGGAAAATGCAATTTCCTAAAGGTATCAATCTCTCTGAATTTCCACTATATCACTGTTAATACACTGACAACCGGATTCATGAAAGAGGCGTAAGGCGTTAGTCGGACTAAGGAATTTTGCGCCCGTGTACACCTGTTCACAAAAAAATGCGCTATCCTTGCGCTAATAGTTACGCCAAAATTTAGACCTACATAACATGCATAAAAATCATGCAACTTAAGTTCCAGTTTATCAAGTTTATTGCATTTTTTTTTTAAGTAGAAGTAATTCCAGTGCTTAATAATAATAGTAGTTTAATCACAAGACAAGATTTTCATGCATGTTATGTAGGTCTAAATTTTGGCGTAACTATTTGCGCAAGAATAGCGCATTTTTTTGTGAATAGGTTTACACGGGCGCAAAATTTCTTAGTCCGACTAACGCCTTACACCTCTTTCATAAATCCGGTTGTGAAAGTTTATCAAAAAGTATCATTAATTAAAAAGGAAGTAGTAAATGTATTAATATAAATCGTACACTCATAAAAGTTTTATGTAAAATTACACAATAGATCATTGGTTATTTTGACGCTAAATGGATTAAATTACGTTGGCCGTATAAGAAAATTTTGCATTATTACATCACCGAATAAAGTACTTTTACATTAATCTAACGTGACCCCAAAATAACCAATATTTAATATAACTTTAAATAAAATATTTATCAGTACAATTAATTATTAACCATTTTACGGCTTTTTCATTTTTTATTGCGGAATTTTCATTTTAGTATATAAAATTTATTGTTTAAAAACTTGTACTGTGTAAATTTTGTATTTTTACAATCATTTTTGACTATTGGTTAATTAAATTCAAAAGAAACAAAAATTACAAAAATATGCAACAATAAACAATGGATTTGCAAGTGAAAATCATGACATGCTTGTATTTTCAGATAAATTATTGTTGATTTAGCATACAGATTCATTTCTTAGCTTGCAACGCAAAATGTTGTTTACAATACAGGGTGTTCCTAAATAAGTGTCGCAACGGAAAACTGTAAATTCCTCTTGAAAAGAGAAACATATTTTTCCTCTTCCATTTTTCTCTCCGGGCTTTTGTTTTCGAGATACACGGTGTCAATTTTTTTTTTTAGATTTTTGCCAATATCTTAGGAACCGTGTGAACTACAGAACTGAGCTTTTGTACATTACCACTATTAATAGCTACTTGTAGCAAATGTTGTTAAATTTCGTTAAAATTGTTAATTATTACTACCTATCTTTTGAATCACAAAAGATTTTCGAAACGTTAGCAAAATGTTTGTTTTTGTTCATAAAAAGGTCATTTTTCTTGAAAACGGTTGACTTTAGAGAAATGAACCAAGAGAACTCTGTGTAAAATTCATTGGCGCTTCAGAATTTGCTGTCACATGTCAATTTTTAAAGTGACGTAAAAGTTAGGGGGGAAAACCTTAAACCTTAAAATCTCCACCACTGGCACGTTCAATGAATTCGAGAAAAGTGCGAAAAAGTAGCTATTAATAGTGGTAATGCGTGTACAAAAACTCAGTCCTGTAGTTCAAACGGTTCCTAAGATATTGGCAAAAAAATTTTAAAAAAATTTTGACACCGTGTATCTCGAAAACGAAAACCCGGAGAGAAAAATGGAAGGGGAAAAGAATGTTTCTTTTTTCAAGAGGAATTTAAAGTTTTCCGTTGCGACACTTATTTAAGAACACCCTGTATATTTAGAATCATTATGTTACCATCACTGATACATAAAAAACCTTCACTCTGTATGTGGAAAACAGAAACGTTGCGGTCCCATGTGTATAAGAACTTTTTCTCTTAGAATTAGATTATTCGTTAAAGTTTGCGCATATACTAAACGAGCTCTTTGGAAATGATTCCCAAACATTTTTTAATCCCAAGCTTGAGGTAAAATTTTATTACGAGTGTGTAATTAATTGTGTATTTCCGACTTCGGGGCACTTTTAAGGAATCGACGTATTTTCCGCAACGCTCCACTTCACGCCGGTATCCGTTCGAGTCGCGATCGGTAATCCTAGAAATGCATGTTGAAATAATCCCGATAAACGTCGGGAGAGAGTTGGGAGAGCAGCTGGATAACAAGCCGGCCCCCTAATCCCAAGGAACACGCACATAAAGAGTTGAAAATGTGGACTCCCAACGATTTGGATTCGATTCTATGGCTACCGGTATTGAGTTTCATAAACGAAACTCTTGATCTCGGCAGTAACTTACGGGCATAAAGCTAAGATTCAACGCTGACACACCAGCCGGGAGAATAATTTCGGTGATTTGTTGAGTTGATTTTTTCGGCCAGGAGTCGGGCTACTGGATACAGATTCGGATGCAAATTAACGAATTTACGTCAGGCCGACGTGACAAATGGGTTATTCGGATTTAAAATTAGAGAGGCCAGGGACCAGATGTATGCGACTCTTACGTTTTTCATTTTATAGATTATGGAAGCCTTTCCCGCTCATGTCCCTGTCACACTAGAGAATGAAATACCTATACCGATATCTGAAAGCTTAGAATTATCGAAATAAAAGAAAGCACTACCTACATTCCTCCCGCCATTATTTACCTACGTGTAACAAAGTGTATCTCTTTTATCTATAATTAAAAAAACAAATAGCAATTAGTTTACGCGGATTTGCACATACCTCTTGCAAAAAAATTGATATAGACGTGAAACAACCCTGTTTCCTTAATATTTCAAACCGTTACACCAAACTACTAACATAGATATAGGGTGTCCCATGACTCGATGGTCATAGCTTAAGGTCGTATTCCTTGGACAATTTTAAGGCGAAAATGCCTTATACACTTTGTCCAAAACTCAATAGTTAAGGAGTTACACGCGATATTAAATTTAACAATAAATAAATCTAGTAGGCCATGTAATTCTTTTGTCATATTGTTATGGTGACATTGTTTATTCCTTGATGTTGTAATTTTAAGGTTAATTTGACATGGCTATGTTTTCAAATCAAGAATATGCCAATATTCACTTTATTTACGGATATTATGACGGAAATGCGAGAGCGTCAGTGCGAAGGTTTCCTGATCGAAGAATACCTAATAAGCAAGTGTTCATAAATGCGCATCGTCAGTTGACAGAAACAGGTATGTTTCCTAAAGCTACTGCAGATCGTTCCCTGCAGTAAGAACTTATCGAAGAAAAAGCTATTCTTAACATGACAGTTCCACCAAAATAGTCCCACTACTAGTATCTGAAGAATATCTAATCGTGTTCATGTTAGTCGAATGAAAGTGTGGAGAACATTACACAATTTTGGTTTGTACCCATATCACATACAATCTGTACAACATTTACAACCAGCAGGCTATGGAGCGCGTGTTGACTTTTATCGTTGGTTGATTGCACACCAACAGCTTTTTAGACAAATCATGTTTATAGATGAAGCCACGTTTAATAGAGATGGAACTACAAATACCAGAAATTCACATTCATGGGCACTTGAGAACCCTTTGGAAATCAGGGAAATGCATTTTCAACATCGCTTTTCGGTGAATATTTGGTGTGGTGTTCTTAATAACCTTCTTATTGGGCCATTCGTATTTCAAGAACGTTTTACATCCGAGCTTTATCATATTTTTTTACAAAATGAGTTGCCAGGATTAATGGAGGATGTTCCACTTCAGAATAGAGTTAACATGTGGGTTCAGAACGATAACGCACCACCGCGTTTTAGACCGCCGAAGTCTAGTCTAGTATATTCAAATAAACCAGAAATCAGAGATAAGTTAATTCAAAACATTATCGCTGCCGCTGCATTCATATGAGATGACCCAGATACTCTTCAAAGAGCTACATCATCAATTATTAGAATAGCCAGAATGTGTTGTGAGGCTTGTGTCTTTAACTATTGAGTTTTGGACAAAGTGTATAAGGCAATTTCGACTTAAAATTG